GTCACTGTTTCCGGCTCGGACAGCGGCTTGGTGGTACCATGAGGGACGGCATCCCATCACCATCAAGCAACACTGTATGCCATCTTCGGAATGCGAGCATGTCTCGGATTTCTCCCTGCAGCCCGCTCTTCCGCTCGGCAAATAACCCAAACCCCCAGGGAACACGTCGAACTAGTCGACATGCTTCACCTGACCTTTTTCGGCACTGATGGAGTCCGCCTCGCCTCCGCCTGTGGGCATCGGCAGGGGCTTGCCTCGCAGCTGAGCCCAGCAGATCTTGCTGCTCGGGACGGAGAACAGGCCGTCCATGTCCTCCAAAGAGACACCCTTGGTCTCGGGGACAAAGAAGAGCGCCCAAACACCCATCAAGACGAGCACAGCGCCAAAGAAGAAGTACGTGCCGTATCCCAGGCTCGTAATCATGTGCGGCGTGATGCGGGCAATAGTGAAAGAACCAATCCAAGTCGTGCAGGTCGTGATGGCGACACAGAGCATGCGGATATCCAGAGGGAAGATCTCGGATGCATAGGTCCACGTGATACCCTGCCAGGTGGCGCAGATAATGAAGGCGTTGAGGTAAATCGCCGCCATGGCGGCGTACCCCCAGCCGTCCTGCTGGATCGCGCCATTGCTGACTTTGGAGGTGGGGTCCTATCAAAGGGATGATGACTTAGTATATGGGGTATCCTGTTTGAGGTAGAAGGCAAGGCCACTTACTGCGATGAGAACGTAGCCACCAAGGAAGAACATGGGGATCATGCCAAGTGCAGAGCCCCAGACAAGACCTGCGCGACGACCGACACGCTCGACGACGATGACGGTGAACGCAATCATACCCAGCGTCTTGGCGATGCCGTAGAAGCCAGTGCTGAAGAGCTTGTTGGAAGTGCCCGAGATTCCGATGCTCTGGAAGATGCGAGGAGCGTAGTAAGTGATGACATTTGTGCCGGTGAAAGACTGCGATAGACACATAAATTAGAATGTGCTAGAGTCACATCAGCACAGGCCCGGATCTGGACTTACCTGCAGGAACATGAGCGCCATAGCGATACCCATACGGTTCCTGGTACCCTTCTGGAAGAGCTTCATGAACTGCTCCTTCTTGCTCATCTTCAGTGTGGAGCGCATGCGGATCTGCTCGCGAATCTCGGAGATCTCGTTCACCATATATGGGTGGTCGGCAGGAAGGTTTCGAAGCTTCATGAGAATTCTCTCGCAGCCCTCGAAATCGTCCTTGCGAGCCCGGTAACGAGGTGACTCGGGGCAGAAGAAGATCATGCCGGCTACAAGGAACACACCGGGGATAAGCTGGACAGCCAGAGGGACAATCCACTGTGCCTGTCTCTCGACATCAATTGTGCGGTTTGTGGCACTGTGAACATCCTTTTCAGCCGTGGTTCAGGCAGCAACATTGTCTGATGTCAAAATGACTTACTAGTTGATCCAGAAGCCCAACATGCCTCCGCCCTGAGAAGCGATCTCGAAGATGCCGATGAGGCGACCACGGATGGACGGCGGTGCAGTTTCCGAGATGTAGACAGGGACAACGAGAGAGGTGCAGCCAATACCGAGACCAGCAATCGCGCGGCCAGCGTAGATCATGTTCATGTTGCCCATGGCGGCAGTCATCAGAGTGCCACCGAGCAAGAACACGAGGGCGCCGAAGACGATAGTCCAGCGGCGACCGATGCGCTCGGCAAGGGGAAAGGTGCACAGAGCACCAAAGGCACACCCCGCCTGGAAGGTCGAGACGATATTTGCCTGGATGGTGTCACGGGTGTACGGCGGCAGGTCGCCCATCTTGAAGTCGCGGACGAACGAATCAAGCGCCATTGTACCACCGATGACGGAGGTGTCGTAACCCACTGGAAGGCAAAGGCAGTAACTTGTCAGCGTAAAGCACTACATGCCTGGCAGTACAGCGAGGCAACACTTACTGGCTAGGGCGGACATGGACGCCACGAGGGCGACTAAGTGGATGTGGCCATTGCGGACTTCTGCAGGATCGCTGGTACCCTGAGCGTGAGTACTGAACCAGCTGCTTTTTCCCATCTGAAGTTGAGAAGGTCGTGAAAGGAAGACGTTGGATGATTGCTTGAGCAAGTGGAGATAGCGTTGATATCTAAAGTAGAGCACAGCAAGATCGTTCTACGGATAGAGAAATCTCTGGGGAAAGGGTCCAGACGAACTGGAGAAACTGGGGACCCTTTCTTATACACGACACGAGCAATCGTCTCTCCGCATCTTCCCCAGACCGCACGGTCGAGACGATCCTTTGTGGAAAGGCAGATTGGTGGGTATGTTGCCCTCGAGGTGAGTCTTGGCATTATACTGGCCTCACGGTGAGTGGTCAGGTTGTCTTTGACCCCGGAGAATAGGGTCGCTAGCAAGCTCATTTAGTGCTGGGGACGACCGGGATGCGTGTGGAGGATGAGGAGTCTGTGGAGATCTTGCCATGGCTGTTGCTCGACTCATGATGGTGCGGAGGCGGACAACACCACCTCCACGGAAAAACGAGGACGTGCTGACTGCCAAGTCGATGCGAACCCATGTCGGTCACGTCGGCTTGCTGCGAGCCGCAAATCGTGCGTCCATTGCTTCCTCTGTGCAACCACATTGTGCGAGGGGGAGTTACGTCATCCCCGCCTGTCGTCACTGCATATGGTGAGTCCATTGGGCATGCCACCACTGTTGAAGTTGCAGAACGATGCACTCTGCGGGCTCTGTTCTCTGACTCCCTTGAAGTTTTCTTGGAGGACGACAGGCTTTGGTCACGAGCTTATGGATCCTCGTCCGCGCCATGGTTCGAAGAGCAGGCAGGTCCACACCCGGTAGCGGCTATGTTGTGTCCGCAGGTGGTGTCCGCCGGGTTTGAGTGGAGAGCCGCAAGGCACCTGGGGCGATGAGCTCTCGGGTTTGCTGCCAAGAGAGCGGTCGTTGGACCGTTTCTCGTCTTTGCCCCCGCGCGTGCATGTTGCATTGTGGGCAGCGCGCTCTGCCAAGTCGCCGCGGGAGTAGAGATTTGCCCGATGGGCGGCGGTTGGGGGATGTCGGAGCAGTGATGTCGGGCCAAGTATGTCTTGTGCAGGCTTGGCTTTGCCGCTCCTCACAACACGGATGCATGTAAGGCATGGGCGGGAGGCTTGGCGGGAGGCTTGGCTGGCTGGCGCCGTCGGAATCTGACCGAGGCTACGACGGCAATCTCGTGATCATGATGTTGGATCTCCTGGAGGGGAAGGCATGCCAGCCAGTGTTGCTCAGAGCAGACGAGACCAGTCCATGTTGTGGCGAGCGAGGACTGAGGAGGGCGCCACGAGACAATGGAAGGCGACGGCGAAAGGGACTTGTCTAGGTGGAGTTGACAGGACGCGGAGTAGAGCGCGGCCATCGAGGAGCAAATGGGCCGTCTTGAAGAAGTCGACCCCTGCCCGCGTTTGTTCACTTTAGCATGGGCACTGGGCAGGCGCCACATTGCCAATTGCCGCACCTGGGGCCCCCGCACCCGCGATGTGCAACTTCCCCAGACTGTCGAACCAGACCTCTTCTGAGCGCAACAGACTTGCCGTTGCTACCGATCTCCATCGAGGGCATAGACTTGCATGTCGGAAATCGGCATTCGTCAAATACCACGCCGTGCGCTCGAGTACCTGTGGTAGGGCGTGCCAAGGACCAAGGCGAGCGACGAGAGCCGCCCGTCAGGGCAAGACGGCCATATGTAGCCCGCCGGTCAACTACCGATGACCCGGGACATCGTCGGCGACAGTTCTGCGTACATATCGCTCACAGGCACAGCCAGCCCTGTCAGTGATTGAGTCTAGGTCTTGGCCAAGACCTGCATGCCAGCCTCCAACTTGGTTCCCTTCCATCCGTGGCGGTCTGGGCAGTCTGGGCGTCGCAACCATCGGTGTTCTTCCGCTCATCCAAGGCCCGCTTGAGGCTGAAGACAATATGTGTTGAGAGTCAGCGCACCAAGAAGCTGTTCGGGAGTATCAGGAGCTGAGGTTGAAGTTGGCTCGGTTGACAACGCGCCAGGTTGGCGCCACGCGAGCAAGGACGTCGAGGCACGACCCTTCCATAGACATGCCAAGAGCTGTGGTTAATTCCGAAGTGAGGAGAAGGAGGGACCAGCCAAGGCGCGATCCTGCTGTTTTATACCAACAAGCAGCGTAAATGGCAATCCTCACCGTCTTGGCAGGTGTCTATCCACCTCAGCGGCTCGGAGATCGAGGCTTCGGACATCGTAAGTTCGAGCGTCTGCAGATGATCTGCGGTGATCCTCACATTCCCCTCATGTCGCAGTCGCAGCACCATAATTCGAGGGCCACCGAGCAGCGCAATCCATGGTGGGATGGGATGGGTAAAGTCTGAGATGGCTCGGCAGGCGGGGTTTGGTGGTGATGATCCTACGAAGATCCCCGTGATACTCGTCTTTCCCCAGATTATGTCCCCAGACTGTCTCCCTAATTCGACTCTGCATACTAGTCGGAGTTAGCACATATGGGTCATCGTGGAGCAACTCGATACTGGGAGATTGTCTCAGATAACGGCTGGTTACGATCACGCAGCAGCAGGTTGCGTTTCACGTCCAAATATCCTGCAGGCTTTCTACTCATTTTTGTAGCTAGAGGCATATTTTCGGTCTTTAGGTCTTTGATGACGTTTACTGGTATTTTTGCTTCGTTTCTCCCCGCAAAGGATGATTGTAAACTTTCCGTAAATTGTAATGCGAGGCTTTTTCTTTTATGTCGTTGAAGGTGAAATAATTAGAACAATTCGGGAAAATGACACAACACAGAGAGGAGTTGAGGGTGCGAGGTTCCGCACTTTTATATACATATTCTCGTTCTGGAACGCTATACTATATGCATATCATGTTTCCTGCAATATTCTGAAGGTATCACGGGGGCCGAGTAGGTTGAGCAGTGTCAAAAAGCTCCACCTCGTCAGACTTTTGAAATCCTATAGATACAATGATAAGACCGTATCTTTCCATCAAATGGGGTCTCGTGGCCCAATGGCAAGGCGTCTGACTACGACGATCTGAGTTTCCAACTCAGTTCTGAATTGCAATCAGGAGATTCTGGGTTCGATCCCCAGCGAGATCACTTTTTGCCCCTCATGAGCCTCATGATTCATGAGGCCTAAAGTATTTATTCCTACTTCAATTTTTGCTGTCGGCTTCCACGTCTTTGACTCGAGGAGGCCTGCTAAGCTCGATCAAGCCGATTGCTCGTGGGAGGCGCGACGGGGGCTGAGTCGATAAGGCTCCCCGCCCAGACGTGCATCAATTGATCCCCTAGAATCCCGAAGCGTTTGCTGCAAACACCTGCACCATGATGGCCACCACTACGCCCGAGCTCGCCTGTACAGACTGTGTGCTCAGTGCGCAATTATCCTCAGGCGCATGACCTCATCGGCGACAGAATTCCATCACATTGGGGCAGGATGCGCGCGTCGCCAGGGAAATCACCTCGTCCGCCATCGCCATCCCACAGTCACGATGGTCAGCGAACGGATAGCATGAGAATCGACCCAGACCGCCAGACAAGGCCTAGCAACCTAGCCACGGCAAGGAGCCAGGGACGAAACTCATTTGGGTTCTGAGTTCGACACCGCAAACGAAACGGCTTCGTATTGCGACTGTTTCGCTCGGTATCGCGGGCCGTTCTCCAGTCTGCGCAGTCCGTCTCGACCTGACAGCATGTCCAGCAGGGCTCTGCACTCACCTCCCAGCCGCTCGATCGCTGTGCAGCTCGGCTCCTTCCGAGCGCGTGCAACAGCAGTTGCCCCTTTGTCAAGATCTTGTGAGCAGGATCGAAACCCTAACGTGACGGCCCCCGGCTTCTGACAGGGTCCAGCAAAGACAGCTTTTCAAACCCGGCCCAAACACGGCTGAAGCGGTTGTCCCTGGCGGCAACGTGGCTGGGCGATGCGCCTTGCGACGGACTGAATTTCGGCAGCCAGCCACGAAAGCAGCAATCCGGCCCCCGGGGGGCATGTGAGCGTGGCCGCCGACCGGCCCCCGAACCCCTTCCGGTCTCGAAACCGTCTCAGGCGACCCCTGCTCAGGCGGGTGTCCAGGGTCCGCCGCCGACCCTGAGCGGGGCATCGTCACTTCCTTCGAGTCAGCCTCAGCATTTCAGCAGTCACGTCCTGTCCATCGCGACAACTTGCGACCGCTCATGACGAGCCGACACTGTCAAAGACTGGGCAGATTCATGCAAGAAGCAGTGCGATAGCTGCCGGGATGGGTACGAGCGGGATATGCATGATGCGCGAGCACCGTACAAACGTGGCGGAGAGTCACACAGCCACATGTTCCCTCAAACCGTTCCTGAATGCGAGCCAGGGTCTGCTGCTGACCTAATGCTCATGGCTGAGACGAATCATGGCCGCGACAGGGAGTGAGAACAGGTGACCCCGGACGACTCGAGTTCCGGGTCGCCTCAGGAGTCCCGCCAAGGGACAAACAATGCCTTCACCGTTGCCTTCGACTAGTCTCAATGCTGGCATTGACACAGCCTCTGGGAACATTGTGATGAGAACCGTAGCATTGATGGAACAGGCCTACAAGGCCAACACAAATGGTAACAGTGACTTCCCAGTACGATGCGAACGAGAAGCGACGCCATCGGCAATAGGGGTCGACAACCGGAAAAAGCCATCTGCTGTCACCGTTGTCCCCATCGATATTCACTTCTTCCCTGGCTATAGTAATTCGAGCACGCAGTCGGCCCAGGCCGATGGTGGACCAGCTGCCCTGTCAGCCACGTCTAGGCCAGAGCCGCACGGGACAAGCCAACCCCAGCGCGGCTCCGTCACCGAAGCATATGCCATGGTTCCGTGGGGGTGAGGCTGTTTCTAATGCTGACGAGGCCGTTCGACTTGGGACGAAAACATGCATCACGCACCAGCACCCTGGCTCGAAGCCCCTTGTGCGTTTCTGCGAGCGCTCCTGAGCCCGCAACTACTCCTTGACGTTGCCTGTGAAACGATTCAATGACGTCCCTGAGCGCTTGGAAGCCCCTGGGATGGGCCAAGCAGGGATCGTCAGATTGATTCAATGGCCTCGATCGCTGGCTCTGCCCTCCCTGCACGGCCGTATATATAGCTGGCATGTTCGCCGTGCTCAAGTTTATTCCATCCCATCTCTCTCATCCACAAATCGTTTCGTCCTTCATTCTTCTCAAGGGAGTTCTGGTAACTCATTCACTTCGACAATCTTTACTTACATTTTTCAACACACCGCCCGGCCGGTCTTATTCCCTTGGATCCATTCGCTTGTTCGAAACTTTTTGTTACAACTTATCAACAACTTTTCAATCCGTCAATATGTTCACCCGCTTTAGCACTCTTCTTGCCGTTGCGGCTGTTGCCGAGGCTCGCTTCGGTCAGGAGCAGGTTCCCGTTGCTGCCATCCAGGCCCTCGGCAACTTCGGCAACCCCGGCGAGGCCGCCACCCTCGCCGGCCAGGTCCCTAGCTCCCTCCTCGGTGCTGCCAACCCTTGCCTGAAGCTCACTCTCGCCGACACTATTGTGTCGACCCTCGGCACCGACCCGGCTGTCCTTTCCGCCGCCGCCGGCCTCGTCGCCGCCGAGCAGAACTTCAACCCCTTCGCCACCACCATCCCCAACATCTGCGGTGATGCTACGCTGCCCAAGACCACCGAGCTCCGTGGTATTGTGCCCCTCGTCGACCCCGCGGTCACTGGTGCGGCTGCCCAGAACGCCCGTTCCGAGCAGTCTCTCGCTCAGCGCCTGAACGCGGCCGGCAAGAGTGTCGCCCAGGTCATGATTGACAGCGGTTTCACCAACCTCGCCATCGACGGCAAGGCCAACGCTGGTGCTGGCGGTGGTGCCGGTGCCGGTGCCGGAGCTGGTGCCGGCAACGGCAACGCTGGCAACAACGGCGGCAACCAGAACAACGGCGGCAACAACAACAACAACAACAACGGTGGTAACCAGAACAACAACGGCGGTAACAACAACAACAACGGCGGTAACAACAACAACGCTGGCTGCAATGGCGGCAACGCTGGTAACGGCAACGCTGGCAACGGCAACCAGAACAACAACGGCGGCAACCAGAACAACGGCGGCAACAACAACAACGGCGGTAACCAGAACAACAACGGTGGCAACAACAACGCCGGTGGTGGTGCCGGTGCCGGTGCTGGTGCTGGCGCTGTCGCTGGAGCCGGAGCTGTCAACGACCCCGTCACTGGTACCTTCGCCGGTTTCCAGGCCTCTTCTCTCGGCGTTGACTTCGGCAAGTGCACACCCACTGTCAAGTTCGAGGAGTCCCTCAACGGCCGCAAGGCTGGCGAGTTCACCTTCCAGGCTCAGGACCCGGTTGTCAACAAGGGCCAGGGCGAGGCGCTCAACTTTGACATCATCTTCAACCGCATCTGCGACCAGCTCTCCAACCCGCAGGTCTGCGGCGCCGCCCAGGCCGGTGTCACCCTCTGCCGCGACACCCAGGCCGCGCTCAAGGCCGGCCCCCGCGACGCCTCGACCGCTGACGCCTGGAACGACGCTCTGGGCTTCGCCGGCACTGGCCTCAACCCCGACAACGCCCCCAAGGCTGGCCTCATCGGCCACACCTAAGCGCTCGCTGGACTTTGGATTGGCGGGACGGCTTGACTTAACTGTCTTTAGTCGTCACCCCGCTCAGGTACACGGACGCCTGGGTCTTCCCAGGCGGACTTTATTCACCACTTTTCTTGAAAGGGGATTTGATAGTTTTTAAGTATGAAATGAAAAGAATTCAAAGCGATGCCACAGTCTGTCTAGTCTAAAGTGATCTGGGGTTGTGAGAATCGTATGTGCAACAACCACTCTGACGTTGGGTGGCAATCTTGTACCATGAAATCCATGCGACAAAGAACTCAAGGGCGAGCATATACGCTGAGGTACACGGGAGAGGCATAAACCCCAACTCGACAGTGGTACCAGTGACCTTCCCTATGCCAAGCAACACCACACCAAGTGCAAGTAATTCACCGTTGCCCATCCCACGACCTAGGCGCCTACTGGACGACCTCACGCAGCTCCCCGCCGTCTCGCTCCAAGCACCTCATCACGGACCCTCTCCCACTTACACCACCACCCGCATTACTCCTGCCCAGCCAGCGCGGATTCACAAACCGGCCCTGCACCTCCGGGAACCCCGCCCAGCCCGCGAACGCGGCGCCCTCGCGCCTCCTCACGACGATGAGCTGCGCGCCGCGCCGCATGAGCTCCGCCGTGCACCCGCCCAGCAGGTCCTCCTCCCTCTGGCTTCTGTACGGGTTTTCGATGTGATTGTTGTTGTTGTTGTCGACGCTGCCGCTGTTGCTGCTGGGGATGTTGCCGGGATGGTTGTCCGGGTACGCGAACCCGGCGATGCTGGCAAAATTATGCGCGGATAGATCGCGGGTTGGCGGGAGGCACCGCCATGCCGCGAGGTTCGCGTCGCGTGTGGCCTGCTCTGCGGCCTTGTCCTCCTCGTTCCCTTCCCCCTCCTCGTTGAAGAAGGCGGCCGGACCGCCCTGCTGCTCCTCGTCCATCAGGGGAGTGCCAGCAGCAGCAGAAGAGGGGAGCCTGGTTGACATGACGGGCTCCCGCGGCCGCCACAGGACCGTCCACTTCATCCCCGGGTCCGCGAGCCCGCGCACCACGGCGTCGTAGAGGTCCCACATCCGGATCAGCCCGTCGTGCTGCTGCTGCTGCTGCTGCTCTTGCTCTTGCTTCGGGGGCGTCGACGTGCAAGTGCCGACACTGGCGTCCCTGTCCTCGCCATCTGATACCGAGTCATTGCCACCATTCCCTTCTCTCACCATCTCCCGCTCCCTCTCCCATTCCTTCTCCTCCTGCTCCACGACCGCCCTCCGGCGGCGCTCCCTGTTCCTCATCCTCATCCTTTCCGCCTCCGCCCTCTGCCGCGAGTACAGCACCGCGAACCCGGTCTCGGGCGTCGCCACGCCCATCGACGTGCAGGGCGGCTGACAGACGAGCATCCGCCGCCAGGACGCGTCGACGTGGAGCCACGCGGCCCGGTTACGGGCGAGCGGGAGGCCCTCGATGTCCGCGCGGCCGCAGGACCCGCGGCGCTGCGAGAGCGTGG